ATTTATTATTCAACATAGCCCGATCAATATATAAGACGTACATTTAATGTCGTTTAATCAGTCTAGACTCTATGACAGTCAGGGATATATTATTAAACATGTCTCCATTCGCTTTCTTGCTGCTCTGCGTTCAAGCTTGCTTGATCCAGGTAAGACTTAGGACCTGACCTCTATATACATCTAAAAATCTCTCAACAATGTGCACATTCGTATGTCTTTATTAATGTCTTTCTTGTACTCGTTCATCTCGAACACGACTTCAATGGGAAAATTACCATCTGTCTATACATACTGTATTACTATATATGTACTATTATGTCCCCTGACAAATTTTCCGTATTTATAGAATGTTTACAGTGAGTGCCTCGGAGCCGGTCTTGGTTTTGGCTACGGTCCAGGAATCATTGGCGAAAACGGACTAGGATGCGGACCCGCTTTGGCTACTGAATTCGGTTACGGACCTGGACTCGGTCTCGGCTACGGCCTCGCTGGCCCCGCAGGTCTGATCGGTCCCGCTGGACTCGTCGGCCCCGCTGCCATTGCTGGCCCGGCCTACGGAGGCACCGGCATCGGTGACGTCGCGGTCGCTGGTGAGATGGGCGTTGCCGGTACCACCCTGGTCGCCGGTCAAGTGCCAATTCTTGGTGCTGTCAGATTCGGTGGTGAAGTTCCAGCTGGCGGTGTCGTCTCCATTGCCGGAAGTTGCGCTGGTGGATGCGGCTGCAACGGTGCCTACCTGTACTGAAACAAGAACTGTGCCCGTCGAATAGCTTCCTTCAATAAAACTCAGTAATAACGACGACCAATCCCATAAACTATTCTCATTTCCCCCAGAAAAGTAAACAAAACATCTCAAAGTCAAGGCATTAACAGATAATGATTTATCAAAAAAATTCGCTCCAATTTTAAAACAAGTCGTATCGAGATCGACTTTTTAAGTGCACGCCATTTTGTTAATGACACACAGCCACGTACTATATTTTTCTTTTATTAAAATCTTTAATTTTTTGTATTATGGATTTAGGCGTGTTAAATGTTATTTATTTAGTATTACTTTGGATAGGCATTAAAACGCTTGTAAGATTTGAAACGAAAAATCTTCCACTGTTTAGAGATAAACGATGTGTTTTTAGTTTCTTACGTCCGGTCTCTGAAACACTGATCATCGTAGAAGTTAACTAATCAGCTGTCAAATGGATTTTCAAATGTTATTTTTGTGTTGCCAAAAGGTTGTTTAAACTCTCTGAATTGATCAGAATGATTCACTTAATGATCAAAATGATTAATTCAAAGACATTTGAAAGCCATATGACAGCGGATTAGTTAACTTTTACGATGATCGGTGTTTCAGAAACCGAGGGTGATAATCTTACAATTATGTTTAATTATTTTTGAAGTTCTTTTATTTTGAAATATAATTGAAAGTATTTATATGGTGTAAAGTACTGTACATGGCGCCATGTTTTGCTAAAAATCAAATGAAAAGTATATACATATCGAGATTTTAGCGTCGTGTGCCTTCGATCAGCCGCCTAGCTCAGTTGGATAAAGCGTCTAGGCGCGTTACTTAAAAAGAAAAATTTCGATGATTTTTCTACTAAAACAAATCACATCCTACAAGCATGTTAAGCTTTTAAAAATTCATAATTACAAATTTTCAGGACCGTCTGTTAGAAATTTCGGATGTGTATGGAATTTTATTTTATACTAAGCATCGACTTGTGTACCACGCCAATGCCCAATGTCCTTATGGTGCTAATGTAGATAAATATGGTATTCACGGACTTTAATATCAAAGAGAGTGCTGGCTGGTTTCCCCGTAACGGTTGCCTAAACGAAATTGTTCGTAGAGTTCTTGTTTTCATCAATGTTTATAAGAGTTCTAACGTTTTACCTTGATCCTAATATTTTAACTATTACTGAACATGAATATTAACAACTTTTTATAACGACAAGCAGCACTAGTGGTTATATCACCGTCCGGGAACGCAGCCGAAATCCAAGTGACCACTCCTCCATGCGACCATGTGTACCTTGGCTCAAGTAGATAACGTCATATCCGGTAAACAGTGTTGCCAGCGCTAACATCGGCCGTCCTGCATCACGCCTTCGTCCTCGAAGGGCGTTGTAGTCTGGTACAAGTAACCTTCATAAAATTAACACCTTACCCTGTGACTTATCTCCCTCAACTTGGTTGAATATCGCCACGTTCAGAACACCTTACACTGTGGCTTATCCCTCAACTGGGATGCATATCGCCACGTTCAAAACACTTATCCTGTGGCTTATCCCTCAACTGGAATGCATATCGCCACGTTCAAGCCTTAAATTTTCCAGCAACTAAATGCTCGGTAGCTTAACCGGCTAAACCAGTAGTGTATCGCTATTTTACATTTTCTCCAATATGATAAGTAATTAATTAACTGGAAGGTACTCACCAAAACTTTCGTTAAATTTAACCAAAAGATTCACCATTACGTATAGTAGGTATAAAAACACACTGTTTTATTTTACGAGGGTAGGTACAAAAGGAGAAAATATGTCGCCGATTGTTTGAACAGCCAAATGCGAGTTTTCGTATTGAATCCCACTTCTGATATAAGAGTTCTAACGTTTTACCTTGATCCTAATATTTTAACTATTACTGAACATGAATATTAACAACTTTTTATAACGACAAGCAGCAATAGTGGTTATATCACCGTCCGGGAACGCAGCCGAAATCCAAGTGACCACTCCTCCATGCGACCATGTGTACCTTGGCTCAAGTAGATAACGTCATATCCGGTAAACAGTGTTGCCAGCGCCAACATGTTCCTTTATTTTTTGAGCTCTGGCGTTTCCGATCACGATGCAAGAGACCCAACCGGTTGAATATGATCCCTTGCAAGAGATGCAAATTGCTCGTTTGGGATGATATTTAAGTAGACACTGTAGTTCTACTCAAATATCATCTCTAATCAATCTCAAAATATCGACTCATTGTTTCTTTATTGTGACTTTTAATACTTTTCAATTAATATTAAAACGCTTGCATAATTATTTTAACCAAAAACGGCATTCTCAAATGAAATTATATGAACGTTTCCAAAATAAGAAAAATAAAAGTGGGAAAAAAAAGGTAACGTAAATATTCACTTAATGTAGGTACGCATGAATTCCTAAAACATCTCATAGACATATTGATATATTGATAGACAGGTGTTATGTTCGAGTCGACATTATGAAGAACAGCAATCTAGAACTATTTACCGGTCTTTTAGTGCTAGAATTGGATATTTCTTAAATAATTCCACTATTGCAAGCGTTTAGAGCTCTGTTAAATTTCGGTTAGAAATGCACGTACGTACGCATCATGTTAATATTATTTCGCTGTGTACGTTTTAACTGTAGTCTTGTTGTGTGGCAAATTGAGTACATTAGGACTGATTAATTATAGGCATCCAATACACTATAGGAGGCTAAAGATCCAAGCGTAACGTTACGTCTAATTGATGTGCGAGGATTGTCCATGATGATTACTCGAGTAAAATTGATCTTCATAGAGAAGGGAATTTCAGGTGATAGATAGATATACATATGCATTCAAATTCTGTATTTACAGAGGTGGATCGATTACGAGAGAAGCCTTAGTAGATACCGCATCCGCAGCCGCCCAAGGCGCGTCCAGCGATAGCGGGACCGTAGCCGAATCCGGTAGCGAGACCCGCTCCGTAACCCAAACCGGCACCGAGGCCGGGTCCGTAAGCCAAACCAGCGGCGGCGGGGTAGCCCCAAGCGGGAGCGGCGATGTCTTCGCTGACCATGCCCACGGCACCGTTGCCGCAGCCGTAGGAGACGGCACCAGCACCAGCAGTAGGAAGAACGCCCTCCAGGCCGACAGTACCCAGGAAAGGCAGCTCACCGCCAACGGCCAAGATACCTCCGATCTCGTTCTCTGACAGAACGGACACTCCGACGGGAGAGATGGGAGAAGCACTGGAGACAGGGAAACCACCACCGCTAGATGTCGGGATAGCTGCTAGACCGTAACCGCAACCTGCAGCTCCGTATCCGGCCCAGGGGGCGGCGGCACCGCAGGGACCGGCGGCGATCAAGGGTGCTTCGTAGGCCAATCCAGCGCCACAGTAGGCTGAGATGGACTGAATAAACAAAAAAAGGCCAATGTGTTATTTTTCTACTTTTTACAAACAAACATTAAAAGCTTTATGAGACAAAGATTTTTATAATGTTCTCTCACCTGAACCAAAAGCGCCTGAGCGCAGAAAAGAACGATAGCCTTGGCGGACATATTGGTCGTGTTTATTAGAAACAATTGTGAGCAACGTTGAGTATGAATAGATTTTATAGTGGATGATTCTGTGTAAACTGACAGCTAACGAAACAGTTATTAAGCAATATCGGACGGTCCATTTTTTCCCAAACGTGACTAAAAACGAATGGTACAATTACAACGAGTACACGATTTCTTTACATTTTGCGAAAATAACCCAATCTCTAATAGGTTGATTGTTTTATTAATTTCAACTTTGTATTTTTAAGGTTAGAAGTATATTTGGCGTGTTTGAAAATAATAACGCGAGTAGTAAAATTTACGATGCTTTTTGATCTAGAAATTTCTGACATTTTCCTATAATTCCAAATTGTAACGATATCAATTGCATTTAATCTTTAAAAATATTTTCTTTATATATGAATCTGTGAAAAAATTTCTAAGTCGCATTTCATCAGGCGTACTTTCAATGTAGCATAAATAAAATTAACGTTAACGCAGAACATGCAGTGCTATGTATAATTATTCTTTTAGTTTTCGTTGGATATTTCGTTAGCAAAATGATTTTTCGGACAAATGCGGAGAACAAACACCACATCACGTATTCTTTACTATTACGAAATTACATTTATTTATTATTCAACATAGCCCGATCAATATATAAGACGTACATTTAATGTCGTTTAATCAGTCTAGACTCTATACAGTCAGGGATATATTATTAAACATGTCTCCATTCGCTTTCTTGCTGCTCTGCGTTCAAGCTTGCTTGATCCAGGTAAGACTTAGGACCTGACCTCTATATACATCTAAAATCTCTCAACAATGTGCACATTCGTATGTCTTTTTATTAATGTCTTTCTTGTACTCGTTCATCTCGAACACGACTTCAATGGGAAAATTACCATCTGTCTATACATACTGTATTACTATATATGTACTATTATGTCCCCTGACAAATTTTCCGTATTTATAGAATGTTTACAGTGAGTGCCTCGGAGCCGGTCTTGGTTTTGGCTACGGTCCAGGAATCATTGGCGAAAACGGACTAGGATGCGGACCCGCTTTGGCTACTGAATTCGGTTACGGACCTGGACTCGGTCTCGGCTACGGCCTCGCTGGCCCCGCAGGTCTGATCGGTCCCGCTGGACTCGTCGGCCCCGCTGCCATTGCTGGCCCGGCCTACGGAGGCACCGGCATCGGTGACGTCGCGGTCGCTGGTGAGATGGGCGTTGCCGGTACCACCCTGGTCGCTCTGGCGGTGTCGTCTCCATTGCCGGAAGTTGCGCTGGTGGATGCGGCTGCAACGGTGCCTACCTGTACTGAAACAAGAACTGTGCCCGTCGAATAGCTTCCTTCAATAAAACTCAGTAATAACGACGACCAATCCCATAAACTATTCTCATTTCCCCCAGAAAAGTAAACAAAACATCTCAAAGTCAAGGCATTAACAGATAATGATTTATCACAAAAAATTCGCTCCAATTTTAAAACAAGTCGTATCGAGATCGACTTTTTAAGTGCACGCCATTTTGTTAATGACACACAGCCACGTACTATATTTTTCTTTTATTAAAATCTTTAATTTTTTGTATTATGGATTTAGGCGTGTTAAATGTTATTTATTTAGTATTACTTTGGATAGGCATTAAAACGCTTGTAAGATTTGAAACGAAAAATCTTCCACTGTTTAGAGATAAACGATGTGTTTTTAGTTTCTTACGTCCGGTCTCTGAAACACTGATCATCGTAGAAGTTAACTAATCAGCTGTCAAATGGATTTTCAAATGTTATTTTTGTGTTGCCAAAAGGTTGTTTAAACTCTCTGAATTGATCAGAATGATTCACTTAATGATCAAAATGATTAATTCAAAGACATTTGAAAGCCATATGACAGCGGATTAGTTAACTTTTACGATGATCGGTGTTTCAGAAACCGAGGGTGATAATCTTACAATTATGTTTAATTATTTTTGAAGTTCTTTTATTTTGAAATATAATTGAAAGTATTTATATGGTGTAAAGTACTGTACATGGCGCCATGTTTTGCTAAAAATCAAATGAAAAGTATATACATATCGAGATTTTAGCGTCGTGTGCCTTCGATCAGCCGCCTAGCTCAGTTGGATAAAGCGTCTAGGCGCGTTACTTAAAAAGAAAAATTTCGATGATTTTTCTACTAAAACAAATCACATCCTACAAGCATGTTAAGCTTTTAAAAATTCATAATTACAAATTTTCAGGACCGTCTGTTAGAAATTTCGGATGTGTATGGAATTTTATTTTATACTAAGCATCGACTTGTGTACCACGCCAATGCCCAATGTCCTTATGGTGCTAATGTAGATAAATATGGTATTCACGGACTTTAATATCAAAGAGAGTGCTGGCTGGTTTCCCCGTAACGGTTGCCTAAACGAAATTGTTCGTAGAGTTCTTGTTTTCATCAATGTTTATAAGAGTTCTAACGTTTTACCTTGATCCTAATATTTTAACTATTACTGAACATGAATATTAACAACTTTTTATAACGACAAGCAGCACTAGTGGTTATATCACCGTCCGGGAACGCAGCCGAAATCCAAGTGACCACTCCTCCATGCGACCATGTGTACCTTGGCTCAAGTAGATAACGTCATATCCGGTAAACAGTGTTGCCAGCGCTAACATTCGGCCGTCCTGCATCACGCCTTCGTCCTCGAAGGGCGTTGTAGTCTGGTACAAGTAACCTTCATAAAATTAACACCTTACCCTGTGACTTATCTCCCTCAACTTGGTTGAATATCGCCACGTTCAGAACACCTTACACTGTGGACTGTGGCTTATCCCTCAACTGGGATGCATATCGCCACGTTCAAAACACTTATCCTGTGGCTTATCCCTCAACTGGAATGCATATCGCCACGTTCAAGCCTTAAATTTTCCAGCAACTAAATGCTCGGTAGCTTAACCGGCTAAACCAGTAGTGTATCGCTATTTTACATTTTCTCCAATATGATAAGTAATTAATTAACTGGAAGGTACTCACCAAAACTTTCGTTAAATTTAACCAAAAGATTCACCATTACGTATAGTAGGTATAAAACACACTGTTTTATTTTACGAGGGTAGGTACAAAAGGAGAAAATATGTCGCCGATTGTTTGAACAGCCAAATGCGAGTTTTCGTATTGAATCCCACTTCTGATATAAGAGTTCTAACGTTTTACCTTGATCCTAATATTTTAACTATTACTGAACATGATATTAACAACTTTTTATAACGACAAGCAGCAATAGTGGTTATATCACCGTCCGGGAACGCAGCCGAAATCCAAGTGACCACTCCTCCATGCGACCATGTGTACCTTGGCTCAAGTAGATAACGTCATATCCGGTAAACAGTGTTGCCAGCGCCAACATGTTCCTTTATTTTTTGAGCTCTGGCGTTTCCGATCACGATGCAAGAGACCCAACCGGTTGAATATGATCCCTTGCAAGAGATGCAAATTGCTCGTTTGGGATGATATTTAAGTAGACACTGTAGTTCTACTCAAATATCATCTCTAATCAATCTCAAAATATCGACTCATTGTTTCTTTATTGTGACTTTTAATACTTTTCAATTAATATTAAAACGCTTGCATAATTATTTTAACCAAAAACGGCATTCTCAAATGAAATTATATGAACGTTTCCAAAATAAGAAAAATAAAAGTGGGAAAAAAAGGTAACGTAAATATTCACTTAATGTAGGTACGCATATCTCATAGACATATTGATATATTGATAGACAGGTGTTATGTTCGAGTCGACATTATGAAGAACAGCAATCTAGAACTATTTACCGGTCTTTTAGTGCTAGAATTGGATATTTCTTAAATAATTCCACTATTGCAAGCGTTTAGAGCTCTGTTAAATTTCGGTTAGAAATGCACGTACGTACGCATCATGTTAATATTATTTCGCTGTGTACGTTTTAACTGTAGTCTTGTTGTGTGGCAAATTGAGTACATTAGGACTGATTAATTATAGGCATCCAATACACTATAGGAGGCTAAAGATCCAAGCGTAACGTTACGTCTAATTGATGTGCGAGGATTGTCCATGATGATTACTCGAGTAAAATTGATCTTCATAGAGAAGGGAATTTCAGGTGATAGATAGATATACATATGCATTCAAATTCTGTATTTACAGAGGTGGATCGATTACGAGAGAAGCCTTAGTAGATACCGCATCCGCAGCCGCCGCCCAAGGCGCGTCCAGCGATAGCGGGACCGTAGCCGAATCCGGTAGCGAGACCCGCTCCGTAACCCAAACCGGCACCGAGGCCGGGTCCGTAAGCCAAACCAGCGGCGGCGGGGTAGCCCCAAGCGGGAGCGGCGATGTCTTCGCTGACCATGCCCACGGCACCGTTGCCGCAGCCGTAGGAGACGGCACCAGCACCAGCAGTAGGAAGAACGCCCTCCAGGCCGACAGTACCCAGGAAAGGCAGCTCACCGCCAACGGCCAAGATACCTCCGATCTCGTTCTCTGACAGAACGGACACTCCGACGGGAGAGATGGGAGAAGCACTGGAGACAGGGAAACCACCACCGCTAGATGTCGGGATAGCTGCTAGACCGTAACCGCAACCTGCAGCTCCGTATCCGGCCCAGGGGGCGGCGGCACCGCAGGGACCGGCGGCGATCAAGGGTGCTTCGTAGGCCAATCCAGCGCCACAGTAGGCTGAGATGGACTGAATAAACAAAAAAAAAGGCCAATGTGTTATTTTTCTACTTTTTACAAACAAACATTAAAAGCTTTATGAGACAAAGATTTTTATAATGTTCTCTCACCTGAACCAAAAGCGCCTGAGCGCAGAAAAGAACGATAGCCTTGGCGGACATATTGGTCGTGTTTATTAGAAACAATTGTGAGCAACGTTGAGTATGAATAGATTTTATAGTGGATGATTCTGTGTAAACTGACAGCTAACGAAACAGTTATTAAGCAATATCGGACGGTCCATTTTTTCCCAAACGTGACTAAAAACGAATGGTACAATTACAACGAGTACACGATTTCTTTACATTTTGCGAAAATAACCCAATCTCTAATAGGTTGATTGTTTTATTAATTTCAACTTTGTATTTTTAAGGTTAGAAGTATATTTGGCGTGTTTGAAAATAATAACGCGAGTAAAAATTTACGATGCTTTTTGATCTAGAAATTTCTGACATTTTCCTATAATTCCAAATTGTAACGATATCAATTGCATTTAATCTTTAAAAATATTTTCTTTATATATGAATCTGTGAAAAAATTTCTAAGTCGCATTTCATCAGGCGTACTTTCAATGTAGCATAAATAAAATTAACGTTAACGCAGAACATGCAGTGCTATGTATAATTATTCTTTTAGTTTTCGTTGGATATTTCGTTAGCAAAATGATTTTTCGGACAAATGCGGAGAACAAACACCACATCACGTATTCTTTACTATTACGAAATTACATTTATTTATTATTCAACATAGCCCGATCAATATATAAGACGTACATTTAATGTCGTTTAATCAGTCTAGACTCTATACAGTCAGGGATATATTATTAAACATGTCTCCATTCGCTTTCTTGCTGCTCTGCGTTCAAGCTTGCTTGATCCAGGTAAGACTTAGGACCTGACCTCTATATACATCTAAAAATCTCTCAACAATGTGCACATTCGTATGTCTTTATTAATGTCTTTCTTGTACTCGTTCATCTCGAACACGACTTCAATGGGAAAATTACCATCTGTCTATACATACTGTATTACTATATATGTACTATTATGTCCCCTGACAAATTTTCCGTATTTATAGAATGTTTACAGTGAGTGCCTCGGAGCCGGTCTTGGTTTTGGCTACGGTCCAGGAATCATTGGCGAAAACGGACTAGGATGCGGACCCGCTTTGGCTACTGAATTCGGTTACGGACCTGGACTCGGTCTCGGCTACGGCCTCGCTGGCCCCGCAGGTCTGATCGGTCCCGCTGGACTCGTCGGCCCCGCTGCCATTGCTGGCCCGGCCTACGGAGGCACCGGCATCGGTGACGTCGCGGTCGCTGGTGAGATGGGCGTTGCCGGTACCACCCTGGTCGCCGGTCAAGTGCCAATTCTTGGTGCTGTCAGATTCGGTGGTGAAGTTCCAGCTGGCGGTGTCGTCTCCATTGCCGGAAGTTGCGCTGGTGGATGCGGCTGCAACGGTGCCTACCTGTACTGAAACAAGAACTGTGCCCGTCGAATAGCTTCCTTCAATAAAACTCAGTAATAACGACGACCAATCCCATAAACTATTCTCATTTCCCCCAGAAAAGTAAACAAAACATCTCAAAGTCAAGGCATTAACAGATAATGATTTATCAAAAAAATTCGCTCCAATTTTAAAACAAGTCGTATCGAGATCGACTTTTTAAGTGCACGCCATTTTGTTAATGACACACAGCCACGTACTATATTTTTCTTTTATTAAAATCTTTAATTTTTTGTATTATGGATTTAGGCGTGTTAAATGTTATTTATTTAGTATTACTTTGGATAGGCATTAAAACGCTTGTAAGATTTTGAAAAATCTGTGGCGAACGAAAAATCCACAATTGTATGATCGTACATATATAAGTACAGAGGTCGATCGCGACTCTTAGTACTATAGTCAAAGTACATTGTATGAACGTCCCATACCAATATCATATGGAAGTAAGGTCTAATGGATAAAAGTAATAATATGTGAAGGCTCAGAGAAAAAATAATGAATATATAAATATAATGAAGAGCAATGAATAACTTGGGACTTTATAAGACATATTACTATGGAGTTGCGTGGTACTTCTGTACGACGATATGGTCTACGGTAAACGTGGAACCATGAATGGATATGTCTTCAGTGGTGGACATATCATCGATAGCTGGTGGTAGTTGGCGTCTTAGTGACCATCACTATGATACGTTGGCTGTCATTTAGCATAGTAAGAGTTTGGTGGTAGTTGGCGTCTTAGTGTGTTACACTATGATACGTCGACTGATCATCTGACTTTGGGGAGTCTGGTGGTGGCTTGCGTCTTAGTGTATTCCACTATGATACGTTGGCTATTACTTGGCTTGGGTGGGGGTCCGTTGGTGGTTGGCGTCTTAGTGTTTACGCTATGATACGTCGACTATCATTCGGATCGTGAAAGAGTATGTTTGGACACTTCGTGTGTTCCGAGTATATTCTAAACTTTGGAGCCGAAGTTCATTGTTGTTATATTGGTGTGGTGTGAGGGTGCGCCACCTACGCGATAGTCACATTGATTCGTGCGGCTATATGCAGTAATGCGTCTTGTGATAGTTGCGGGGTGATCTGCGCCTAATATCATTGCATCGTATGATTCTGGTTGACGGAGGTTCGAGGTGATGATGTCTGCCGTGTATGCGGATAGGCTGTATGTTGGCGTGTTGACCTGCGATAGTTGTATTGATGCATGTTGCATTTAGTGACATTGCATCTTGCGACATTTGCTTGGGAGACGACGCTATTCATAATGGCCGAGTCTGCGTCTCGGTTTGATGCACATCTCAGTAGATTTGTCCAAGTCGGGTTCCTGATGACGGAACTGCAGACTGTCTGACCTTTTTATACGTTTTATCATTATTAACGAATCTCAGTAAAGTTGCAACCGTTCGAACGAATAATGGCAACTTGCTGATGGGTGAGACAAACTTGATCGAAAATACACTATACTCAACGTCAGAGACACTGACAAATAAATATATGTTGCCAATTATAAACCCTTCTGATGGCTAAACATAAAAATCACAACTATGGCTATATCTGACTATTTCAATGGTTGGTGGAGCATATGCGTTTACCTCATGTGGATGGTAGCTGGCGGGAGAAAACCTCTCAAGGCTGCGGCGATGCCGTGCAACGTTTTAACCATACCCTTGGGGTGAGCAGTGACTCATAACGCGCTCTGCGACGAAATGTCGTGCTAACCTTTTTAATGGTGGTGATGCCAAAACACTAACAATCACGTCTGCAGTCGCGGCGATCTGGCAAAAGTGGTGGCGCTTACGGAGGGCTTATTATATCATAGGGCCAGAGTGCCTGATCTTTAACACATGCCCAAAACCGTATTGACGTACATTCACGAAGACTGGATTTGTCGTCGGCTTGTATAACGTTTACACGCATTGACATGCGCGACTTCGGTCAAAGTTTGTGCTTACGCACTGCCAAGGGGCCAAGCCCTCTTTATGCTGGTAAAACAGCTTTGCAATGGACTTCGGTCCTTTCCCCAAGGGGGGGGGGGCGCAATATGTTGGTTGGCGCTCACCGCACACGGCGTTGGTGAGTGTTTTCATGGAGCCGTGTGCCTTCCCTACATTTTTTTTAAAATGTGGGGGAGCTGTTGACTTGTATCGGGTATGTAAAATTGATGTGAGCCCTTTTCAAGAGAGAAGAGATATTAGTTTAAAATTAAATTGTGAGCCCTTTACAAGCGTGAGAGGGAGTATACTATATACTCTGAGCCCGTCTCAAGCGAGTCGGGATTAGTTAATAAGAAAGCAATCTGGCATTATCTCTGGCTTATACCACGACTAGTGAATATTTATCTATCCAAGATACACCTAAAAGAATCAAGTTACTAATTAAACACAACGTAAATGAGGTCCTACCGAATATGACGATCACAATAATTTTTTATTCGGCTAATTATTACCTTTAGAAAGATCCTATAGAAAGATCAATAAATTATCCTGGTCACGTAATGATGTTATATGATTTATTCATATAACGGGGCAGAAATACATATAAGTATAATTATATATATACACAATAAAGGGGGGGTGCGAGTTACAACAGGTTCGGTAGAGGAACTGTCTTAATATTGAATTTGCAGCAAGGGAAAAAAGAAATGGGTTTGGCCAAAGCGTATTAACGTTAGCCGATTTTGAGTGTTTGCCAGTAAGAAAAAAAAAAGAAGGGTTAAGTGAATATTATGGAAATCTTTTACTTCCAAATTGTGCTGTTTTTAGATTCCTAAAAGTAAGAAGAAAAAAAAAACAATATTTAAATATTAAGTAATATACTCTGTACGCAACATGCCGCTCACCTTAAAAGTACATACGTAACTTTTAAAAAATCTTTTGTCGAAGGGACATAAAAAAAGTTATTAAAAATGTTATGTTAGAGACTATAATATTGTATATATATATATATATATATATATATATATATATATACATATATTATATTGTTAAGATACCATAAGTTACTAATATTAAAATTAAAACATTATAAAAATTTATGACAAATTTTGATGACAGGTTGTTTTAAAAGGGTTTTACCCACTTGGAGTGTTACAACACGGGTTACGCCATCGGAGCCCGGATGAAGGCAGTGCACACGTGCGAGTCTCCATTGTACCGTATTCAAAAACTTTGGTTAACGATTTATTTTAGTAAGAAAGTCATTATTGATCTAGCATCGATCGGAATCAGACTTAGGTTAGGCTAGCTATAGTTTAGTTATAAGTTTAAATTATAAGTTCTAATAAATAAGTTAAATCAAATTGGCCTCCGACAGTGCCTTCTATAATTAGTATTGTATTTCGGTGAAGTTTATCTGTTGTTTTGGAAAGAGTTCAACAGCAGCGTTCTTAAGGCAGGATCTTCTTTCTCCACTAGAACGCTTCAGCGTTACCGCGAAACGAACAATAGAATTTTTGACTGTGGTTAAAGCTCTTTTCTAATAAATTAAACAAATATATGACAAAAGTATTAGCAACTTTATATATTGAGTCGTTTTATGATTTTCTAAGAATTTCCAGTGTGATCCATATATACTATTAGATTTCGCATGTCGCTTTTAGCTAACGTGATCCTTTGTTACGTCGACAGCACAGTGTAATAGCATTTTATATAAATATATAATTATTCTTATTTCTCTTCTAGTACTAAAAATAAATAAAGAAAGAAAAGTTATGTAGCTACAGTAAATTGTTTTAGTACTTAAGCATCATCTCGGAAATTGCCATATTAATGTGTTTGTATGTAATGTACAATCAATGAAAGTTCTTAAAACTGATAAGAAGTGATTGCAGAACTACAATTTACGTTTGACTACACATATGTAGCCAGGGTGAACAAAACAGCTTGAAATTTTAATATAATTTTGTAAAACTTTATTAAAAAATGGAACTTCAAAATTAATTTGACCTATATCCTATTCTACTGTTAATGTTGTCCATAAATTCGTCTTTTCGTATCGTCGTTTTGCGGGTACTTTTAGGCAATGAAGGAGTAAACCGAGTAACGAATGCATAAAGAAAAGTATATCATAATTAACATATTTTATTTGGCAATCTCCTTCTACAATTCACAAATAACAGTAATTGTTTGTGATTTCAGAGATTGTATCATTATATTCATTCTCATTAGTACACGTAGGGTCCATTGCAAGCGCATCCACACCGTCCAGCTATTGATACTATTCCACCTGCCGGAACCTCACCATCGAATTGCACGGCTCCAAGAATCGGCACTTGGCCAGCCAGAAGAGTTGTGCCAGCGACTGGCATCTCACCACCCACCGCTACGTCCCCAATACCAGCACCTCCATATGCCGGTCCAGCAGCATAGGCAGTAGGAGCAGCAAATACCCCTGGGCCTGCGAGACCGTATCCGTATCCAAGACCTGGGGCTAAGCCGGGACCGTAAGGGACATCAGCAGCTATAGCGGGCCCACAGCCGAGCTCATATTCAGTGGCAATCGTGGGGCCGTAACCTAAACCAATATTATTGCCAATATATTGGCCGAGTGCAATCTGAAAATAACAAATTTTAACCAAGGATTTAAAGATATAATCTTTATCGAACAATATCCTTTATGTAGAAAAAGGATTTAAAGATATAATCTTTATCCAATAATATCCTTTATGTAGAAAACACTAGCCAAGTCGCCCTTAATACACAATTTAACAATACATAATTATATTACCTGCATAAAACAAACTTGCACAATGACAAATAAAAACGAAAACTTGTTCATGATTGTAGTTATGTTTCACAGAAATGAATATGCTGCTTTCATTTTAGTGTTGCTTTTTATACTCATTGTTTTGAAAAAACTTTACATGAACTATAGATAATGTTTTCCGTTATGTAATAGTAATACCATTGCAAGAGTAATGAAGGTAAACAAAATGCTATCTGTCAAATAATGGTGTAACCATAATTTTGAGCTAGTATTCTGAACAGTAATTAAACTTTACGCAAATCAAAACATAGCCAATTGACATAAATATTAAATAAAAGATGATATTGACATTGAGTTGTTATTCGAATTTATTTTAAAACGAAGCAAAGTAAGGTCTTTGTACATTTAACGTACACGGCACCACCGTAATTGCACAATACACATTACACTAACTGTCGATTGGTAATTACCACATTTAACGCTGTATAAAAAGAAGTACCTACTTTGTTATGATATGTCATATTCGAATCGGTTCTCCTTGAAAGTTTATAATTCACCATGTTGGCTGTTTCTATTCTGCTGCTCTGCATACATGCGCTCTTAATTCAGGTACAGAAGTCTCATCTCGTATCCATGTAAAAAACATAAATAATTTGAAACAAATTATGCCATCGTTAAAAAAATTATTCTTCTAAATAACATGCAGGTAACACATACGAAATTAGGATCTATTTTCCACTTTAGTTACATTGCACAAATCTGATAACAGAATTATTTTCGTTGGAATGGTCTATATCATTATTTTTATATTTTTCAGAACATTTCTGCAGCTTGTTGGGGTAACGCGGTAAACTCTGCTTGGTCTGGCTGGGGTGAAGGTTTAGGATGGGGGGGTCCTGGTCTGCCTGCTGATGTACCGGTCATTGAAACCGGTGCTGCTCCATCTGCTGCCAGAGCTCCGTTTCTTGGCGCTGGTTGGGCTACCTACGGACCCGGCGCTGTTGCTGCTTCTAATGGTGGAGGCTTTGCAGTCTCTAGCGCCTCTCCTATCGCCCCCGTAGGAGTCTCAGTAGCCTCTGATAATGCAATTGAAGGAATTCTTGGTGTCGGAGGAGAAATTCCCTTCATAGGCACTGTGGGATTGGAAAGCGCCATGCCCACCGCCGGTGCAGGCACAGTGACTTACGGCTGCGGCAATGGTGCTGTCGGCATGGTGACCGAGGATATTGCCCCCATGGCAATGGGTTTTCCATTTGCAGCACCTGGACTGGGCTACGGACCCGGTTGGAATGGTGCATATGGTTGGGCCGGTACCGGTTCTAGACCCTTTGGTTGCGGGTGCGGACGAACAATTGAAATTTCCATTTAAACACTTATTGTAAAACTACATATTATAAATTATTAAATCTTTTTAAACCCGTCAACTAGCTATGTAATTTGAAAAACAACCTTTAAACACCGTTGACCCCGGTAACCTCGCCCCCAAGAGGGCATGCAAAGTTATAATACTTCGACTTTCTGAGAATATGGCACTCCCTCGCACGAGCCTGCCAATTCATTATGAAGATGTTCCGCGGCGCTATCACAGTGCGTAAACTACGAACAAGAATTAAATATGTATTCCCAAATTCCCGTTTTTATTCCAATGTTCCGTTTTGTTTTACGCAAATTTTTTCTAATAGTATTGATACTATTAATTTTTATACAACTGGAAAAGTTTGGCTAGTTACAGGAGCTGAAAGAATCGCATAGACTAAAACCTTATTCATCTTGAAGGCGTAAAATTTCGATCGTCGTTTAAAAATGTAAAGTAAACCATAAAATAGTAAAAAATCATAAGGGTATTATTTTAATATTTGCACATACTTTAATCTAGCACTAACCATGTATGTATGTGGTTCACTTTACGTATAGTGGTGAAAATCACAGGCTATGAATAAAATTAAATCCAGACCCAAACTTAGTAGCAAAGCAATAAAGTGTGCTGGTACAATAATGTAATAATATTGAGGTCGTAACGCAAAGTGCAAGCAAAAAGATAAGCCAACAAAAATTGTTTGTTCGCACAAAACGAGTTTTCCGCAATGCCTTTGTTCTTTCTTTTGTAAGGGTTTCTTTCTGAAGCTTCAACATAGAGCAAAAAGTACATTGTTTCGACTTACATGTTTGTAAGTTTTCATCACTGTACCATGAGGCTTTACCAAAAATGAATTCGTTAGACCTTGACGATCTTTCTTGAGGTTAGAGAACAGAAAGTAATTACTAGGGCTTATATGCGGGCTATCGGGTGAGTGCTTTCTTTAAATCCACAATCCCACGCAGCAGTCTTGGCTAAGTGCCCTTTGTGAACCGGTGAGTTGTCGTGAAGAAGCAAGACACCTGCGGTCAATTCTTCCTTGGAACACTCAACTCGCACTTGTTTCTGAAGTGCCCTGAGCATTCATGGCACCCATCTTGCACGACCTTCGACAGATTCAGATGTTCGTGAAGGAAGTGTTAATGCTACCCACGGAAAGCTTAGTCCTTTCTGCTCATGTTTTCACTCTTACACGGCCCATCTTTGAGTTTACAAGTTTCTCCGCGATTCTGACGTTTTCTTGAGATAATGAAGGAGCAGAATCTTGGTAAACGATCACCATTTCTTCTTTAAAATCTTTTATTCTTTCCTTGTTTTGTTAGGTATTTGGTATCACAGCAGGTGCTCGGTTTTTTAGTGCCTATGAGAGTAGCAGAAATTTGGTTTAAGCGTTTTCAATCCGGAAATTTTGATGTCAAAGATGCAACTCGCTCTTTGCGCCTTGTTACGGATTAAATGGATACCATTTTTGAAAAAGTGGAGCAAGATCGGCATATCAATAATAATAATAATCTATGCCCGTTAACATAAGGACCCTCTCTGAGGCTGAAACATACCGATACCTGGGTATGACACAAAATATGTGTATCGATGAGGCTGGCATGAAACAGTCAGTTCGTAACGTGTTTTTTGCACGCCTGACAAAGGTGTTTAATAGCCATTTGTCAGGCGTGAACAAGGCACGTGCTTTTAACGACTGGGTCATGCCAGTCCTCATGTATACCTTTAGCATACTCAGGTGGACTCAAACTGAGCTTAACGCCCTGGACCGAAAAGTCCGAACAACTATGATGTCCCACAGAATGCATCATCCGAGATCGTCAGTGATGAGGCTGTACCTGCCGCGGAAGCATGGCGGGAGGGGCTTTTTAAGCGCCCTCACCATGCACAATCGCGAGGTGTGCAGCCTCCGTAACTACTTTCTGGCGAGATCGGATGAGTCAATCTACACGGACGTCATTAGTTGTGATAAAGGACTTACCCCTCTATCCTTAGCCAACGAGCTATGGCAGGACCCGGGAGTACTGAGTGTTTCCGACCGAGAAGCCGTATGGAAGGAGAAAGAGCTCCACGGGAGGTTCTACAAGGCTCTACACGAGCCTTTCGTAGATACTGTTGCCTCCCTTAACTGGCTACGTTTCGGTGACCTCTTTAAGGAAACCGAAGGTTTTGTCTGTGCGAGACAGGATCAGGATATTAAGACGAACAACTATCGGAGATACATCCTAAAGGATGGCACCGTCGACATCTGTCGAGCTTGTCGCCATCCCGGGGAGTCGCTTCGGCATGTTATCTCCGGTTGTTCCATGCTTTCTAACTGTGAGTATCTGCATAGACACAACCTAGTAGCCAGAATCCTACACTTGGAGCCCGCTCTGAAATACGGCCTCGTGGATCGAAAACTGCCGTACCACAAGTACTATCCGAAAGCCGTGCTCGAAAATGACCGCGCCAGGCTCTATTGGGACCGGCCCATCATCACGGACAAGACGATTGTCGCGAACAAATCTGATATCGTGGTGATGGACCGGGCACAGTCGCGGGTATTTTTGGTTGACATTACCATTCCATATGACGAAAACCTCGTGAAAGCCGAAACAGATAAGAAGACAAAGTATCTGGACCTGGCTCACGAGGTGACCGACATGTGGGGTGGTGTGCCGACCGAAATTATCCCGATAGTCGTTTCTGCCAATGGGTTAATCCCAGGCAGCCTCTCTAAACATCTGAGGCGACTGGGACTCCGGGACGGATCGCTCCAAGCTCAAATGCAGAAGGCGGTGCTCCTCGATACCGCCCGCATCGTCCGCCGGTTTCTCTCCCTTTCGCCCTAACCCTCGGCCGTTTGGTCTCCCCTGCCGAGGGCTTCCGTCTGGTTGGGTCCTATTTATATATGTATTATATAAAATATTTATATATGTATGTTTATTTTTATCCATAATATTTATTTTATATATGCAATATATATCTATATTTTTATTTTTATTTATAAACCAACCAGACGAGAAAACAAATGAATATCCCCCCATAATAATAATTTTATCGCATAAAACATGGTACTTAATATAATGGTATCTAATTTGTTACAAAAGCTCACATGTTTGCCAGATGCGGCATGCGAAAACTAATGTTTGAATAAACTACATGCATAGAATTTAAAATGATAAAACTTGTTGCATAAATTATGTTATTAAGCTATTAAATTAAATAAGTATTTTGAAAATTATTATTTAAGAATTAAATAAGTCAACTGAACACAAGTAAAATAATTATAGTAAATAAATGTCAACATTATGAAAAGAAAAAAATATAAAGAAGAATAATACAATAATAATCAAATGATTTTTGCCGTCACGCCAAACCAAAAAAAAACAATAGCAGAATTTTATTAACTACTGGTGCCCAAATTCATTAATGTCATAAAAACAACGCGTGAGCAGCCAAGTTTTGTGTTTGGATTTAAATTTATTTCGGTATAGCTGAAGAACTGGAACGGAATTAACCACAAAACAGTTTTGGCGCATTTGAAAAAAGCTGGGTACACAAAAAAGCTCGATATTTGGGTGCCTCATGAGCTCACTTAAAGGAACGTAATGAACCGTGTACTCATTTGTGATTCTTTATTACAACGTAATGAAACCGAACCATTTTTGAAAAACCTGATGAGATTAAAGCAAGAAGTTGAGAGAAAGCAGCGGAAATTAATCAACAGAAGGGTATGTGGTTTTTTATCATGAAAACGCTACACCTCACACATCTTTAGCCACTCAACAAAAATTGAGAGTTTGACTGGGAGGTGTTAATGCATCCGCCGTATACGTTGCACTTTCAGATTTCCACTTTTTTTGGTCTCTTCGGAATTTTTTAGGCAGATTTTTTGAATTCTGATCCGTTTCCTGATAATTTTAAATAAATAATAGGATTTTTTTCTAAAATTGTTGATTGCTTTCTCATACTTTATATTTGTTTCTTTTATAAAAGATATTATAGGGATCATCTGTGTACATTTTCGATAGGCTTCCATGATACTATCGATAGAATCCTACGGCCCACCACTAGTAGGTAATTAATGACTTGGTCCCGCGGCGTTTCGACGAAACTCGCCCGCTGCGATCCGCTAAGCGGGGACCTCTCAGGAACCTTCCTCCGCTTTCTCATACTTCACCACCAAAATAGTTAAAAATTCACTGCGCACAGCGCCTTAACGCTTGGATACAGTTCGCCATTTTTGATCTTTAAGACTCCAGCTGGCTCTCTTGATTATATGGTGTTAAGTAGGTAGAATTCGGAAAGCTTGCAAGATTTAGGATATGCGGTTACTAGCGGAGTAACAATATGAGAACTAAAAATCAGATAATCAAACAGGAGTTGATGAGCTTTGCATAGTAATTAACAATAAGTATAGCAGCCATATATATTATTAAGATCTAATCGCGTTATATGTTTTCAATTCTCTAGATTTACGAAACTGCTGTAAGATGGGGGATAACACAGCTTTCGTGATATTTAGAACTTGTTTTTTTATAAATGTAATGTTTCATACGACAGCCATCCTCGACCGCAGAATAAAACACATGTTAACATTTATTCACTTCATTTATTATTTACTAAGATTCTAATTAATATACCGCTCCACAACCATATCCATATTCTGTGGCAGGATTAGCCCACGCCCGGCTGTACCCGTACCCATTTGTCGTCGGGGCATAGTTAAGGCCTGTCCCGGGCCATCCGAATCCATTCATCCATCATTCCCACATTCCCGTTACCACAGCCGTATGAGATGGTGCCAGCACCAGCTGTTGGCAGAGCACCCTCTAACGCTACGGTGCCAAGAAATGGCAATTCACCACCGACCGCCAGGATTCCTTCGATCGCGTTCTCTGATACCACAGAGACCCCGTAAGGCGAGATAGGGGACGCACTTGAGATAGCAAATCCGCCCCCATACGTGGAGGGGAATGCGGTGAGGTCGTAAGCTCCTAGGAATGGAGCTGCACTAGTATACTGCGCACCTACCATCAGTGGCGCTTCGCATGCGTATCCTTGAGCAGCCCAGCCCATGCCTTCCATAGCAGACAAGCTAGTTGGCCAGGCAGCATCAATGCAATACGCGGTGATTGTCTGTAAAAAGATGATAACCATTGGTTATTTTGTTACACTTATTATTTATTATTACAACCTGACTTCATTGTCCGAATAAATTCATCATAATTTTTTGCAAGTAACGGTTAGTGCTTAAATACTATCCTATCTGGTAGTAGTAAGTGACTCTGCAGCCCTAGATTTTTTTTTTTTTTTTATGCGAAAAGTTGCCAAACGAGCGGACGGGTCACCTCATGGTAAGTGAATACCGCCGCCCATGGACATCTGCTACACCAGAGTGTTACAGATGTGTTAACAACCTTTTGAAAATTGGGCTCCGGCCACCTCACTCACCAGACGAAACGCGAAAGTATTTGTCATACTTCCACTTTACGTGGTCTTCTGTGAGGTCGTGGTACTTACCCGGACGGGCCTGCCTATTCGTGCAACAGCCGAGGCTGCTGCGTGGCCCTACCACCGTAAAGATGCCCTAGATGGTAAACTCTTAGCATAAGTCGATTCGATCTTGGCTTGAAGACGCTTACTTTATTTTCAGACAATGTTCTAAAGATATTGTGCCTATTATGGTCTTTCCTGTTCAATTACTTGAACATTTTATGTGTTAACAATCTTTAATTTTACAAAGGCCAGAAATACTTACCTTTAATAGAAAGACTTGTGCGCAAAACAGAAGTACAGTTTTGGTTGCCATTATGCTAAAGCAAAGGAGTAATTGGATTTTAAAAATATAATGGCCGTCGGAAGAATGATTAAATAAATGAAAATTTTCGTATTTTTACTGATTTCCTATGAAATCAATATTTACAAGGTATTGCGCTCACTTACATCAAAGTTCGTGTGTATACGTATGATTACAAAAATATTGCGTTAATTTCTGTTGATACCATAACGACTTCTTCTTGGAAACAGTAATCTCCCAGTGAAGTCAACTTTTGTGAATTGTTTTGTCCTAATTAAGCATACGAAACAAAAAAGGGTAATTTTGTCCTGTATAATATGAACATACAATAGTAAAATATCTCTTTAGTTATAATTTGAGTTACTATGTTCAAGTACTATTGCAAACAACACAACGAGACAAAGATATGTATGGATATTAAAACATCTTAACTATACTCGCAACTCTACATATAATTTTCATTTTATGTGTATTGTCGTATTGTTGACGACTCGATTGGCCCAGTGGGTAGTGAACCTGCCTCTTCCGCCAGCGGGTGTGGGTTCGATCTCCAGTGCTGGAAAAATATCATGTGATTGATGTTCATTGTGTTTTCCTTATATCTGGGTGTGTACATATTTATAAAATGTAATTATATACAAAAGAAATGTATGTTTTTCAGTTATCTATTACCCTTATTACAAGCATTGCTTATTTTGGACTAGAGAAAGCTGTGTAAAAATGTGTCAAGAAATATTTATTTACTACTATGTACTAAAATATATTTATGTTGCAATTATTTAATCTATTTTAAATGTATTTACTATTTTAATTAATAAAAAATAATAGATGATAAATTTGACATGAAACTATGCTCAATTTAAAGAAGTACCATGAATTATTTAATATAACTTATGTACATTTGTTTACCCATACCAAATAGTGAAAGACCAGCTAGTATTATATAAAATGTAACATACTGTTATCGAATAGCTATTATATAAAATGACAAAAAAACGTAATTCATTTATGAAAATTGTAAAACGATTAATGTTTAGAACATATAATCTTCGGTATAAGATATCGTATGCACTAGTATCCATTTCAATACAAACTAAAAAGTAAGGCTTTCCAGGCTTTCTTTTCTTTTACGTTAGAAGATGACAAGCGAGCAGACGGTTTGTCTAATGTTAAGTGGTAACCGCCACCCATGGACATTTGCCTCAGTAACCTCACCGACCAGATGAAACTCAGAAGCACAACACTTCCTTTTAACGCCGGTCTTCTGTGAGGTCGTGGTACTTACCCGGCCAGATCTGCCCATTCGTGTTTCAGCGAAGACCGTTGCGTCACCCTAACACAAATATTTCTAAATTAAATTACATAAATATTTTATAGCATACGTATAAGAGTTCTAACGTTTTTAACTTGATTCTCATATTTTTACTATTACTGAACTTGAATATTAACAACTATTATAACGACTAGCAGCACTAGTGGTTATATCACCGTCCGGGAACGCGGCCGAAATCCAAGTGACCGCTGCTCCATGCGACCATGTGTCCCTTGGCTCGAGTAGATTACGTTATATCCGGTATACAGTGTTGCCAGCACCAACATTCGGCCGTCCTGCATCACGCGTTCGTCCTCGAATGGCGTTGTAGTCTGGTACAAGTAACCTTCATAAAATTAACACCTTACCCTGTGGCTATCTCCCTCAACTGGGATGCATATCGCCACGTTCGAAACACTTACCCTGTGGCTTATCCCTCATAACTAGTATGCATATCGCCACGTTCAGAACACCTTACCATGTGGCTTATCCCTCAACTGGGATGCATATCGCCACGTTCAGAGCACCTTACCCTGTGGCTTATCCCTCACAACTGGGATGCATATCGCCACGTTCAAAACACATACCCTGTGGCTTATCCCTCACAACTGGGATGCATATCGCCACGTTCAAAACACATACCCTGTGGCTTATCCCACTTCTGATATAAAAGTTCTAACGTTTTTACCTTGATCCTAATATTTTTACTATTACTGAACTTGAATATTAACAACTATTATAACGACTAGCAGCACTAGTGGTTATATCACCGTCCGGGAACGCGGCCGAAATCCAAGTGACCGCTGCTCCATGCGACCATGTGTCCCTTGGCTCGAGTAGATTACGTCATATCCGGTATACAGTGTTGCCAGCGCCAACATACGTCATACGTAATAATGATCCTGCATCGCACAGACAAAACCTTCGGTTTCCCCAAAGAGATCACCGAACCGTAGCTAGTTAAGGGAGGTAACAGTATCTACGAAAGGCTCGTGTAGAGCCTTGCAGAACCCCCCGTGGAGGGTTCTCTTTCTCCTTCCATACGGTCTCACGTTCGGAAATGCTCAGTACTCCCGGGTCCTGCCATTGCTCGATTTTTTTTTTTTTTTTATTTTCTTTTTTTTTTTTTTTTTAAAAAACACTGCCCTTACTTTAGGATAATATTATCCTGTGTTGTAAAGGACGTTTTACAAACATAAATTTCACGCGGACAAACACCCTTTACGATTTAAAAGGGGTAAGTCCTTTATCACAACTAATGTCGTCCGTATAGATTAACTCATCCGATCTCGCCAGAAAGTAGTTGCGGAGGCTAAATAATAATAACATAAATTGTTATTATTATTAGATTTTATTTGTGTGTAGTTGACCATGATATCTTTTGAGATTCACGAGTAAAATTTATTATTTTCAGTTTATGTTTAAGGAGTAAAATATTATATTTTCACGTTATTCTTTTTCTATCGTGTTCCAGGTTGACACTGAATGTTTTTAGAACTGGTCAGTTGGAAACATTGCAAATGAAAACTAATGTGATATATTACGTAAATTTTTCCTTTATTTTTATTAATTGACGGCAATCCCAAAAGTCTTATTACATCTCAACATGAATTTAACGCGAGATAAATTTCTGTCCATGATTTATTACGACTTTCGTTGTTCGCGTTACTAAACAACAAAGCAACTAATCTAGACTTCGATTAGATAGTGAAGTACAAACGATCTTTCTTTGCTTTGGAAAGGTCATTTCGCGACAGTTGTGCTGGAAGATGGAAGGAAGAACAGTAACTGCTGACTGGTATGTTAATTATTTTTGGAAAGAAAAAAGAATGAAATAAATTTATTTGCCAAAAAAAGACGCACACAACCAAAACCTAAATTTACCAAAAAATAAAAGAAATAAAAATTACAGTTATAAATATTACAGTACAACAAAACAAAATCTATACACAATTTAAATATGAAACAAACAAAAAAATAACTCAAACAAATAAAAATGAACAAAAAGTATTGCACGCCCTGTGTCGGTAAAGTTTGCCTGCTGTCTTGGAAAATGTTCGACAACAGCGTCCTCGAAGAAGGATCTTCCTTCACCACGATAACTCTTCAGCGCTCTCCGCGAAACGAACAAGAGAATCTTTGACTGCGGCAGATATCGATATCGCTCAGCGATAAAGCTCTTTTCTAATAAATTAAAAAAATAAATGGCGTGTATAGAAATAATGATACAATTAAAGAATTGGCAACTTTCTACATTGGGTCGTTTTATGATTTTCTAAGAACTTTCGCATGTCTCCTTTTGCTAACATGATATTTTATTAGGTTGACAATGTATTATACCATTTTTTTGCAAATGACGATACCAGCATGATGTCGTAATTTAGTGTAAAATGTCATTTGCATTTGCTTGTATTTTTTTAATATAATTCTGTAAAACTTAATTATAATATAGAACATCACAATAAATTTGGGCTATATCCTATTCTACTGTAAAATAAATGAATAAAGAAAAGTATATCATAATTAACATATTTTATTTGACAATGTCGTTATACAATTCACTAATAACATTAATTGTATGTGATTCCCTAGTTTGTTTAATTATTTTCATTCTTATTAGTACACGTAGGGTCCATTGCAAGCGCAACCACACCGTCCAGCTATTGATACTATTCCACCTGCTGGAACCTCACCACCGAATTGCACGGCTCCAAGAATCGGCACTTGGCCTGCCACAAGAGTTGTGCCGGCGACTGGCATCTCACCACCCACCGCTACGTCCCCAATGCCAGCACCTCCATACGCCGGTCCAGCAGCATAGGCAGTGGGAGCAGCAAATACCCCTGGGCCTGCGAGACCGTATCCGTATCCAAGACCTGGGGCTAAGCCGGGACCGTAAGGGACATCAGCAGCTATTGCGGGTCCACAGCCGAGCTCATATTCAGTGGCAATCGTTGGGCCGTAACC